GATTACTTCACATTTGTCAGTGTTAAAACGCAGCTGCCACTTATCAGCTCAGTCAAGTCAACCAACCTATCAAGATCGCCTTCCAACTGTACTTTTTGCGATGTATTTTTCACTGTATTATAAATTTTTGTGTCGTCAGCATACATCGAGCCCACGCTAGACACAGCTTCTGGTAGATCGTTCATAAACGCAACGAAGAAAAAAGGCCTGATAACGCTTCCTTGTGGCACGCCGCTGCGCGCTGAAGCCCAGTCTGATACAGACCCATTAATACTGACAGGTTGTCGTCTCCCTACTAGAAAATCTCTGCTCCATTTGAGAATTCTACTCTCAATTCTCAGAGACTTCAATTTACGCAACAGTCGCTCATGTGAGCTACTGGCAAATGCCTTGACAAAATCCATGTACCCTGCATCTCCTGGCTTCCTTACGTCCAGCAGGCGGGTCCATTCGTTCAATGTAAGTAGACAAGAGGTTAGTGGTGCAAGATCTCCCATCAATAACGCCATGTTGACAGTCTGGTAGGAGATTATTAGCAGTCAAATGATCGATAAATCGTTCCCTCACAGCAGATTCCATTACCTTGCAAACGACACTTGACAGGGCGATAGTTGCATAAAAAAGGTTAATGGAGAAAAAGAGAGATTGTGAATTGAAAACATTTTTCTCGAGGAGTAGCATTCATGAAAAGAAAACGCGAATTTAATGCTAATGAATAAACGACAGGCCACCTCAGGCGACAGGCCACGTCAGGCCTACACTTCAGCCCCGAGATCACTATGTTATGTTATGTTAACTCTCCTTTCCTGCGGACCGCTGAGCGGTTTTGCTACTATTCTGCTGTCCGCGGAAGGTGGTACTGGTGGGATGCATGCCAGAGGCCAGCATTGCCCAAGATCAGCATATCTTTCATCCTCCTTTCCGTGCGTAAGCCTGCTAAAGGGCAGAGTAGACTAAGGGATTATATGTTGGAAGCCAATAGTACAAATCCCCTTCATGGAAATTAACCAGCGAGCTAATGAGAAGTAAGCCACCAATACAATCGCTCTACGCCGTATTGAAAACCGTCCAACAGCTCTATCCCATGCCGTCTAACCTAATCACGATTTTCGGTAAGCAATTCCCTACGCCATACCATGATACTGCTGTTGATACACAGCCAGCACTCCAGCCCGTCCGTTTGTCGCAGCTGTTTTCCCCCGGCATAACTCTACCTCCATGCATCATAGTGACAAACCAGAGATTTTTTAGAATCAGTTCAGTTTTAATACCTTATTTACCCAAGATTTAAATCAATTTCTTATGTATGATGATGCTGGTATGCAGGATACTTTACTGGTCTACTTATAGGACTCAAAAATGAACTTGAGGGAGAGTCTAAAAAACACTCTGCTTTGCCACTATGCCATGCATACCCCGTCTCCCCGCCTTTTTTCACTGACTGCCGGACGGCTTTTCTTAGTTTCTGCACACCTGACTGCATTACGCTATGAAAAGAGGATCTATAGGAGTTGTAAACTAACCTAACCTAATTCGGATAAGCAACAAAGGCTGCAAGAAAAGCCTCCAGTTAATCATGCGATAATGGTGGAGAGTCGGGCCTGTTGGGGTAAGTGTGGGGGGAAGAAGATGCTGGGGCCCTGGGGCCTGGGGGATAGTAAGGCAGGGAAACAGTGATGCGGGGTTAACGTCTTGCGGATTGAGTAAGGTGATGACGCATTACCGTTTGCCTTTTGGTACAGTTCACATTTGCGACAATGCAGTGTCACTGTTAGTAGTCATTAACCTGGGAAATCTGGGCTGAAATATGCATATATTGCTCAAGCAAATATCTTACAATATTTTTCATCAATTTTATTGTCTAACAGCTCCTGTCTCTTAACATGGCTGGCTTGGCTGCTCAGGCTCTTTGGTCTTTACTGTCTTTGCAATGTCTTATCTCTGTAACTGAAATTCAACAGGTACAATTTTCCCCCCATGATTTTTAGGGAGTGTTTCTGTAATACAAATAATATATATGCACTCGTTTTTTATCACAGTTGATAGTTCACTTATTTGTTCTAATGCCCACAGTTGCACAAATCCTGACTCCTGACCCTGAGCACTATTCAATCAAGGTCTCAGCCTATCAGGGTCAGGGGGCTACCTTGGAGTCTTGGATGAGTCTCCAGAGTCCAGAGCTCCTCAGCTGTAAAAGAAGAAGAAGAAGTGGTGCAGCAGTCACTGCCATTTGTTGGCTTGTGGGTCAACTCATCCTGATTCCTGAGGCAAAAGTGCATCAGATAATAATCAGAGGCTTCAGAGAGCTATGTCATACAACAACAACATACATGATGTAACTTGTAGTCTTGGACACAATCTGTAATTGGTTCGAGCTGGTTGGCAGGCTGCCCAAAGCAATGTGGTGATGTGGGGGGGGGCCTTTTGTTGACTCCCATAACCCATTTTAATCACCATTCACCATCTATGGTAACCTACTGGCAAAAGGGATAATAAACTCATAGTTTTGCATGTATTTCTCAATTTCTGAGGATTTGTTAGCAGCATGTCCAACATTAAGCTGACTGAACATGTTTGTTTGCAACTTCCCATGTACCGTAAAATGGGGTTACTTTGACGGGTGGGGTAACTTTGACCACTTTGTTTTTTTAACAAAAATCCCCAAAACTCAAAAACAATTTGACATAGAAAAATTTTGTCAATGGCCATCAAAGGCCTAATACGGAGGCTACGTAACACAATAGAAAGATTTAAAAAGTTTGCATATCTAATAGGTTAAAAAATTAATAATGTGACCCACAAAATAAGCTATTATTTAAAGCCTGTCAGAGTACCCCCTCCAATTTTTTTATTTTTTGGTAAAATAACTCCAGGTTTTGATGCATTGTATTAGAACTCCTCTAGTTACATATGCAAAAGACAAATTTTAGGAAAGTGTCATAGTTTGCAAATGGGGGCGCCGCCCCCTAATGGGGGAACTTTGACCACCTGATGGCAGCCGTGACAGGGTAACATTGACCGGCTTGGAAATTAAGTTAAAATTACCATAGGTACCTATATAACATATTTTATGTTTGATACACCTATTAATGTTTTTTTCTTTATGTTTCAGACCCTACAGAGTCTTATAGATGGTAATTTTAACATAATTTCCAAACCGGTTAATGTTACCCCATCACGGCTGCCATTAGGTGGTCACATTTCGCCCACTGGGGGGCGGCACTCCCATTTGCAAACTATGACACTTTCCTAAAATCTGTCTTTTGCATATGTAACTAGAAGAGTTCTACTGCACTGCACCACAACCTGGAGTTATTTGGAGTTATTTTCCCCAAAAAAAAAAATTGATTTTACCACCCAGTCAAAGAAACCCCAAGAGCTGGGGTAACAAAGACCATCACTTTTTTTGAAATTACATCAAAACTATGAGAGGCAGGAGCCAGCAATTTATGGTGAGTAAAGCTAGAGTATAGACCTGTATTTTGCATGTTTCAATTTAAGTTTAACTTATCTAGTAAAAAAATGGCATTGTTTCAAAATAAAAAAGTGGTCAAAGTTACCCCATTTTATGGTACGTATATTGTTTCATGAATTGCACTGTGCACTGCTCACTGCTGTATTGTCTGCAGTGACTGCAAAGTTAAATTTTGATTTGGTAAATTTTTCCATGTTTTCTGTGGGATTAGTGGCAATTTTTTGCTGCCTAACCCAAACTGCAAAGTTAGTCAACAAGCATATAATATGGATCCATCTAATGTTGCATTTCTCCACTTGAAGTTTAGTACCATAGTTCACATCTGTCATCTGCATTTTATTATTTTTGGCTGTGGGAAATAGAAATAGCAATAATACCGTCAACCGGGGCTACTCGGGACAGATTTGAATGATTAGTTTTAAATAACAGTTAATAACTTCTTACGATGAAACATTTCATAAACAAGTTTAGTCTCATTTTATAGCTGATTGGCAGGGCTATCGAATGGCGTTGTCAAAAAAATTCCATATGCTATTCGTAATTTTTCGTAATTGAAGCCTTTGCTAACTGAGGTTCTACCCTTAATGCGTTTTTGGGGGTGTCCCGAATAGCCCCGGGGGGGTGTCCTGAGTAGCCCCGCCATGCGGAAATGGCTGCCATTTCTTTTTGGAATTAGATAGGCAAATGACCCGGCTGAAGCCTCCCTTGAATTTGACTAAAACACCCATGTATCTAGCCAATATCACCTGTTCCTATGGCCTTTTCATATGTTCTTCAGTGTAAAATATATGAAACGGCCTATTTTCAACTGCAATTTCCAATTATGATTTCTGTTTTTGCCTGCATTTTTAGAAAACTTCTGCCTGAAATTCCAAATTGGTGGAAAAAGATTATTTTTACCTTCAATATTTTTGGGAAACTTTGTGTGATATTTCAGATTAGTTTCAAGGATAGCCTCTGTTAGATTTCCAGTGGTTATGATCTGTTTGTGCTGCAATTATGCCAAATAAATCCAAGCCATTCTACTTGGTAAGGGAATTTGGCAAAGCATTACATAGATGACAGAAATCAAACTAATTAATATTATTCAAGACACTGTGGATTAAATGCAAAAAAAATTTCATATAAAATAATAAACCATTTATAGCAATTAGAAAATGGCTTGTTAATTTTGTAATTGGGTCTATAAACTTGAATTAACAAACTATCCTGGCCATGACATATAAGATTTAATTAATGTTTAGGTATGACAAAAAAGTTTGCATTTTAATGACATATACAGTAATTATTCCTGATATGAGACAGTCATGTAACTTGATCAGAGTACATTGAAAATTGATGTGATAAGGTATGTTTGGGAGTCCAATTTAGTCTTGGAAAGACTAAATTACTCTGTCAAAGAATGAATTCAGTTAATATTCTTTTTTCAATGTTACACCCTTATTGTATATTAAAGTTGCACAATTAATATCTCTATTTTACTGCTAAATATTTTTCATTAACATATTCTACACTATTATTTTCAGTTAAGTGAAATATATAAAGTAAAATAAATTTTGGATATAAATCAACCTCTAATAGAAGTTTAAGATGGCTAAAGAAGATGAATTTGAGCTAGAGCTTGGTGGGCCAGAGTATACAGTGAAGGTCCATGTGCCCGTCTCTCTTGCATCGCAAGAAGATCCCCAGGAGCTGGCTCACCGAATTGTACAGCATCACAACCTTCCTATTTACATGCATCCAAGTAAGTTTCATGACATACTATCATTAAATACATGTTTAAAATTATCATAATTTAAGTGAATATTTTTATGTAATTTTATCAAACCTGGTAACTTCCCACTTGAAGAATTTTTTATCCTATTGAATTGCCAAAATTTTAATAAATAAATGCCTCAAGGTGTTAAAATTTAAATGTTCTAATCAGAGCAAATTTTAATAATGCATACAATAATAATGCATACAGTATGAAGTTGACTCTTGAGTGTGTGGTGCTGTGCAGAACTAAGTGAAAGTCTTCAAGAGTTTGCACTGCAAAGCAATGATGCAGCTCTTAAGAGGCCAGGCCGTGACCTGCTGGCCGCTCTCACATCTCATGCTGCTGCAGCACCTCTCAATATTGCTGCCTTCTGGCAACAACAGCAGCAGCAACAGCAGGTTGAACCCGTTTTCTGATTTATGATAATTGAATGGCCTTAGTAACAGGTAGGTAAGGTTGCATTAATTCTTCACCATTGAAGAATTGAAATCATTTATAATAACAGGTAGGGAATGTTGCAATCATTTATTAAAGACTATGCCTATGTAGTACCAGTAGTTACATCTATTTCAATAAATTTAAACTTGTTGGACAAATATGATTGCCATTCTTTACTTTTTCAAATGGTTAATGTAAGTAGTAGGTATGTTGCTATAACCTAAGTATTTATTTTGTATTATAAAATAGTCTTGTTAAGGTGAAGTTCAAAATTTGCTAATTTATTCAAATGCTTTCTGATTTCTTAAACATTCATTGATACCCTTTGATAGATATTTTATAAATTTAGCAACAATGGCTTTTTAGCACATTTTCTCATTTATGGAAAAAAGATGCTATTGTGCTTGTCATGTCCGTCTTTCTTTCTACCTATCCGTGGCTTAACATTTTTGGTGACAAGAAACTGTAACTCACTGCAGTGAGTACCACTGAGTTATATTTTTCAATTCAATGTTTCTTACGCTACGTATTGTGCTTGTCATGTCCGTCTATCCATGTTTTTATCGACAAGAAAATACGCTCTCTGTCACTCACTGCAGTGAGTACTGAGTTATATTTTTTCAATGTTTCCTCTAAAAATTCCATGGAGCAGGAAGAGCCGGAGAGCAGTGAGGGGGAAGAAGCGTTGTTGTATCACAGCTTCGTGCACTCCCGTGAAGGCCTTGCACTGCTGCGTCTCGAGCATCAGTACAGCAAGGAGGTGGCCATGCTTGTTAAGCGGCGCCATGCAGCCATCCTCAGCCATGATGCTAAGTGAGTAATTGATACAGTGATGAATAAATTTTTATATATATAAATAGATAATAAATAATTTTTATAATTATTTTTTTATATATTTAAATCAATATTATATATCTTCTTCTAATTAATGCCTAAAAAAAGTCAAGTAAAAGAAAATCAAATCAGTCTGATAGTTGGAATGTAACCTATAACAGTCAAACCCTTCACATTATAGAATTAAAATTTTGAAGCCAATTAGGCTCATGATTAATGTAATGTGAGTGAAAAGTAATGGCTTTGAAGAAATTTTCAATGATGACACCATTTTGTACAGTCTGATATCAGATATTGACCACAATTCACTGAAGATATTTTTATCACATTTTTATTTACTTTTTAATTGGATAAAAATTTTTTTGGTTTATGCAAGGGATATTTAGGTCAATTAAATTGTGTCAAAGCATAATTATACTGACTCTACTGCAGACAAATAACCCAATGCCCTGTCAAATTTTATAGCGTTAAAGGTAAATATTGAATATTCATGCTCCCGTTTTTTGATAATATTGTTAAAATGTACTTTATTTTGCAGACAAGCTGCAAAGTTGGCAGAGGCTGTGTCCCAGAGCTGCAGTGATGCTCAGGTCAATGCTCTGAGCAGCAGAGCTCTAGAGGCATCAGAGCTGTTGCATGCAGAGTGGGAGAGCTCCATTACAGCTCTGAAGGAGCAGCAGCTCCGTAATTTCAGAGCCGTTGTCAGGGAGGGCAGAGTTGCTGGCGCTGCTTCGTAGGTCCTAATTCTTCTTGATTATTTTTGCTGGAAACGTAACTAAAATTATACCTATATTTTATGATGAGTGGAGTGGTAATAATGCTTTTATTGTGAAATATATATTGTTATGAATGATAAATATTCCTATAAATGTTAAGGATTAGCTTTAGTACTTGAGAAATTATAAATGGGCCTATAAAAGTTTGTTGAATAGAGACATTGCTGATGTATAATATGATGTGGCAAATATTTATTTACTGTACCTACATTGGCAATGCGATGAATGAAAGTTGTATTCAACTTGTGCTAAAATGTGAGCTTGTGAACTGCTGGATGCTGAAGAGAAGTGCTGAATATTGAAGTTTATTTAGTGCTGTAATTTGAACTTGGTCTAGTGCTGTAAGTTGTACTTATTCTAGTGCTGGAAGTTGAACTTAGTCCAGTGCTGTAAGTTGAACTTAGTCTAGTGCTGCAAGTTGAACTTAATCTTGTACTGTAAGTTGAACTTAGTGTAGTGCTGCAAATTAAATTCAGTCTCCTGCCATGTTTGCTACATGCTGGAATCTGAAGTTTAATGGAATAAGTTTATCAATTGATAAAATATAGCCTGTTATTACTATAAATTGATGTAATGAAGCCCTGCTCCTCCCGCCAGAGGTGCAGACGAGGAGCAGACAGAGGGCGTGGGTGCGGCTGAGGACGCGCCTCTCCTGCAGGAGAGCTTCACCATCCACCTGGGCACACAGCTCAAGCAGATGCACAACCTGCGCCTCATTGCAGCTGATCCCGTACACCTGTGTGACTACACCAGCCATTCAGCTGCAGCTGATAGTCAGTGGTGAGCATCTGATAGTCAGTGGTGAGCATCTGATAGTCAGTGGTGAGCAGCTGATAGTCAGGGGTGAGCATCTGATAGTCAGTGGTGAGCAGCTGATAGTCAGTGGTGAGCAGCTGATAGTCAGGGGTGAGCATCTGATAGTCAGTGGTGAGCGGCTGATATCAGTGGTGAGCATCTGGTGATGGTAACATATCATTTGAAAAATGTAAAATAGTGACTATGCATTACAAGTGAACATGATTTTGCTGATATTTCATTCTTGATTGAAATTTAATTAATATTTAAGAATAGGAATGTTATTTCCATAACTGATTATGTTCTACCATTCGATTATGCTTTATGAAAGAAGCTTGTGCTCCAGAAACTGTTGTGTAATATTTAGATGGCGTTTGATACCTTGGGTATCTTTTGAGAAATTTCGTTAGCGTCTTAATTAAAAGTCACAGTCAAGAACTTGTTTCACATGACATGATTTTTCTGTACAAGTTCGGATAGCTTTAACAATTTGATGAATACCATAATTATAAGTTGACAAGTCCATGCATAAACTGAAGTGAATTCAAAAATTATTTAGGCAATAATATACGGTAGGTATGTGAGCCTTTTTTATTATATTTTTTTAGACATTACCTGAGTTATTGAGACATGAACTTATGTGATTTATGCATTTATATTATATTTTTTTATTTTTGAGACATTACCTAACTTATTTACGACATGAACTAATGTGAATTTATGTATTTTTTGAGACATTACCTAACTTATTGAAGTATGAACGAAATTGTTGAGGTGGTTGCCGCCACAACGCATCCAGACTTCCCTGGAGCTGTACGGACGACAGCTCAGCGGCCTGGTCAACCTCGTGGATGACAGAGTCAACTGTCTCTCTGGCACCAAGCTCGGTATGTCAACTGTCTCTCTGGCACCAAGCTCGTTGTGTGCTGTGGCCATGATTTCCGTTAACTATCTCAGAGTTTTGTAAGAAACGAAAATTCAAGCAAATTAACCATATCTTGATCAAAAACACTACGGAGGCCTTTCCATTATCAGTTCAAAATGTAATTTTTTGAACTGATTATGAATCTGGTCTGCAAAAATTTTAGATGAAATTCAAAATTGGAGAATTTTGAACAGATGATGGAAATGGTCTCCGAAGGCTTTGTCGATAGGTAATGGTAAATTTGTTTGATGGTTTCTTTGCTTTTAAGTTGTTATCAAACTAGTGATATCAGGTGCTGTTATCTCTCTTGTATATCACTTCTACACACCGTGGGCACTGCCATAATGTGAACCATGAAGCGTGCCATGAACCACAGCTATAATGTTGAAGTAAACATAAGCTAATTTCGTATCATCTAACCAACACTGTGTTAAGTTAACCGTTAGCTCGCAATTTGATTTTCTGTGCAATTTTTCAATTTATGAAAGTAGCCTGAATCTTGTTTTTTGTAAGCATGATGCGCTCAGCTAATCGTCATATGTCCTTGAAAATTTTACATTTCCAGGGGCATTGCACATTATGCATCTCGCATCAGATATTTCAATGTATAAATACAGGTCTAAATCTAAATATTCCTATTTTAAGAACGAAAAAAATTGTATTGAATTAAGTATTTAATATTTTGAGAACGAAAAAATTGGTGTTGAATTAAGTACCCTATTTAATATTTTAGAACGAAAAAATTAGGGTATTCAAGTACGTATTTAAAATTTTGAGAACGAAATAAGTGGGGTATTGAAGTACGTATTTAAAACTTTGAGAACGGAAAAATTTGTATTGAAATTTTGAGAATGCTGGGAAGGGAGGAGCTTGGAAAAGTGTATGTAATTTGTGTATTTAAGAAAGTGTACCTATAGTGTATGTGAAAAATATAACTCAGTACTCACTACAGTGAGTGACAGAGAGCGCATTTTCTCGTCGACGAAAACTTGAGGTCACGGACAGACAGACGGACGGACGGACCTGGCGAGCACAATAGTGCATTTTTTCCATAAATGAGAAAATGCGCTAAAAATGTATGTAGGATGAGGGAGGGGTGAGGGAGTGCACTGCGCTGATGGCTCTGTTGTTTGCTGCAGAGTTTGGTGATGTGTGCAGCAGAGCTACAGAGCTGCACTTCCCAGAGCTGCAGGACCAGCTCGCCCACATCAGGGAGCGTCTGCTGCCGCAACTCTGCAGGGGGCGCCTTAACCCCCCCGCCCCCGACGCCCCCGAGGTGAACTAAACATCAATGTTAAAAAATATATCAGAGGCCAAAGTTATCTTGTTAAAAATTACGCACATCTTATTTTTGTTGAGGAAATATAGAAATGCAGTTATGACATTTCTTGAGGAAATGTGCGTTGTAAATATAGTGAAGAATTTTATTCTGACGTTTTTGAAAATATCCTCTTCATTTTTTGAGGAAATACACGTTGAGATGTTGTGGAGAAAAGCACTTTAGATTTTATGGAAATACACGTATTGATAATCTATTACCGGTACCTTGGATTTGAGTGACTGATCAAGTAACTCTTTTTCAAAATTGATTAATGACAATTTTCATGCAAGACTTATTCAATTTTCATGATGACATAATTTTCATGATGACAATTTTCATATTGATGACAATTTTTTAATAACGACGTTAATAAAAGTTTTGTTAACAGACGCCACGACGGGAAGACAAACTGCAACCTGGCGACGTCTATATCACCAGGTGATATTGTGATGATATTACTAAACAATAATAATCAATATATATGATGATATTGCTAAAGAATAATTATCAATATATATGATGATATTACTAAAGAATAATTAGCAATATATTATGATGATATTACTAAACAATAATCAACAATCAACTATACTAACATTCGTATATTCACGTAGAGACATACACTAGGACATGTTTAACTTAAAAGTTAGATTTAAAATAGTTTGATTTTGTGTTCAAGACTTTTTGAGAGTTCAGTTAGTTTATCCAGGTATCTAAAAATTCATACGCAATTATTTGCGCTAAGCTTTATACTTATTTTTTAGTCCATTCTGTCACAAATACTTGCCAGGCACTTGAAGCACATGGGCAATAAATTGCAGCTATCAAAACTGGTTGAAACAAATTGTAGGCAACAAAACGTAGAAATTATACTCTGCTGTCGTATTTTACGTGCATGGCAACCTGTCGATCTGCACATTATTAACTAATTATGTATCTACTAAAACCACTTCTACAAATAATATATTTAATAATAATAATATATAATAATGATGGCTTTGTTGCAGACACAGCAACCTGTCAGGAGTGCACGTGGTGTTCCATGTGGTGTGTGATGACAGCGTCAACAGCAGCAGCATCACATCTCGGCACCCCGTCATACTCGGACTCAGAAACGTCCTCAAGGTGATGACTGTAGGATGGTGATGGTCATCAAGGTGCTGGCTGTAGGATGGTGATGGTCATCAAGGTGCTGGATGTAGGATGGTGATGGTCATCAAGGTGATGACTGTAGGATGGTGATAGTCCTTAAGGTGCTGGCTGTAGGATGGTGATGGTCCTTAAGGTGCTGGCTGTAGGATGGTGATGGTCATCAAGGTGCTGGCTGTAGGATGGTGATGGTGCTTACTCCTATCCCTATAGCTGTACTATCATAAATAGTCAAGAGTTCGTAATTTCGTCTACCAATCACTGACTGCTTTTCAAACTAAACCCACCAATCGCAGTCGAGAAATCGGCCTCTAGGTATTCTTACGACGCTACGTGTAGTTCATGGCCACTGCATGTACTTAACGTAAGCGAATTTTCATATTACGGCCCCTGATCACTGTTGGTGAGAGCAGCGCCCTTTCAACCTCACGTGTAATGAAGAAAATACTTTCATTCAAAAAAGGGTTTCTTACATAGTATCCATCTCGTCTACGCCAGGATAATCTTGCATGTCATTAGTTGAATTTTCTTATTTTTCTATCAAATGCCCAATTGATTGTCTACATAAATAAAATCAGAATGCTGTGCTTTTTATATCACATCTACAGTCGCGTTTGCGGATGCGAGAGTGATGTAATGATTTTATTTTTTAAATATATAATTTGGATCCAAGGCAATTTTCGTTAGCTAGGGTGCTGGCTTCAGCATGGCGGTTTTGATGTTTTACAATTGAAGTTTGTAGTTTTTGAATTGAAATTTTTTATAATTGAAGTTTTTAACGAGATCTGAGTAGATCTCCGTGTAGCTCTGGTTCCTGTAGTGTGACATCACAACGCTAGTTTAAGTGCAGGTGACCTATTTATGGTACATCACTAAACTATAGTGCTAGTGTTGCAGGTGCTCGTGCAGGATGTGATGAAAGTGTTTATGATGGAGCTTTGGCGCTGCCGGTGCTTGTGGTGCAGGTATTACAGGTCTTTGTGCTGCAGATGGCCTGCTTGTGGCGCAGGTATTGAAGCTTTTTGTGCTGCAGGTTGCCTGCTTGTGCTGCAGGTATTGATGATTTTTATTTTATACTGCAGGTGGCCTGCTTATGCGACATCACAACGCTATCGCTGCCACTGCTGCTGGTGTCGCGGCTGACGGAGGAGCTGAGCGCGGCGTGGTGTCAGCGTCGCGCTGAGATCGTCTACAAATGCGTCAAGGGCTTCATGATGGAGATGACCTCGTGGGGAGGCTCTGAGATGAACACCCTGCAGTTCGTGCTGCCTCAGGTTCGTGCTGCCTCAGGTTCGTGCTGCCTCAGGTTTGTGCTGCCTCAGGTTCGTGCTGCCTCAGGTTCGTGCTGCCTCAGGTTCGTGCTGCCTCAGGTTCGTGATGCCTCAGGTTTGTGCTGCCTTAGGTTTGTGCTGCCTTAGGTTTGTGCTGCCTTAGGTTTGTGCTGCCTCAGGTTTGTGCTGCCTCAGGTTTGTGCTGCCTCAGGTTTGTGCTGCCTTCAGGTTCGTGCTGCCTCAGGTTCGTGCTGCCTCAGGTAGTAGAAACGAACGGAGGACCTTTTGGGAGTAGCAAGCAGAGTCAATACCTTTCTTCCGGGCCGTGTTGCCCTGCATGAGGAAGAGGTGGTGTCGAGTTAGGTTAGATTATTATATATCGTGTCGAGTTATATTAGATTATATCGTGGGGGGAGGGGATGCACAACCCATACTTCTTATTGCTTAATGGGAGAGGGAAAGAAGTTATCTGAGGTGGAGAAGTAGCTTATGAACTCTTAGTTTGTGTTGACCCAGATGGGGGGAAAGAGATGAATCCCGTTGAGTCAGAGATGATCTTGTAGAATGGGTCAGAGATGATCTCGTAGAGTGGGTCAGAGATCCCCTCGTAGAGTGAGTCAGAGATGCTCTCGTAGAGCGAGTCAGAGATGCCCTCGTAGAGTGGGTCAGAGATGCCCTCGTAGAGTGAGTCAGAGATGCCCTAGTCAGAGATGCCCTCGTAGAATGGGTCAGAGATGCCCTCGTAGAGTGGGTCAGAGATGCCCTCGTAGAATGGGTCAGAGATGAATCCCGTTAAGGTTGATCTGTCCTGGGTGAAGAAGAGCGTGCAATACTTCTATTGAAGTGAGGTGGGGATGAAAGTTGCTCCTTAAGATGGCATGTAGAGCAGGAAATAATCTTCACATTTTGACGCTGACTTACAACTGCAAGTCTTCAAGGAAATTATTTTCAATACAAAGAGATTTTCTTATTTCTATTCCTTCTTGATCCTGTATTTAATCTGATTTTTCTGCCATAAATTAGTTAACCTTTGTTAATCGTTTCGGATTGTTAAGTGCGCTGAAACATTCCACAGTTTTTGTGTCATTTGAAGGGTTATAATTTTGTTCCCATTCCTACCAATAAAACATTTGTTCAACAACTAATGCTGTTCCTACCAACAGAACATTTCGGAGGCGCAGTTCCAGGCCCTGGCAGCCATGTTGCCTTCCATCTTCCGAGTGTCGAACCCCCTCATGGCTGCCTGATTTAATCATATTCACATATTGTAAATTATATTTATAATAGTTATTCTGAAATGTATTGACGAATTAGTAGACATTTTCTTATACAATGTGGTACACGAATTGGTTACACAAATTAGTGACATCGGATTAGATTAGATGTGAAGCAGCACTTTGGTCTGGCAGTTAGTGTGTGAATTTTTCATAAGAATTTATTTATTTATTTATTAAATAAATAATTATTAAATGATATTTATTTAATAAATGGCACTGGCCATCATTAAGATTACACCAAGACTTGAGAGCATTGTCGCAGGTAACCCTGAAGCTTGCGCCCCATGGTTAACGATGACACGATTCAATCGACTGCTACTGTACTACATTAGATAAAATGATGATCCTTCAGATGATGTATTGCAGTTATACCATAATTGTGAGGCATACATTTACGTAAAATGGCCGGGTTAAGGTCTACTTTGTTGTTTGTGGAAAAACCGACATTCCAAATGAGCCAAAGATGTATTTTTTTTTTAAATCTTGATTTGAGATGTGTTTGATTGCGGCTCTAGATATTGTTACATATTTGTTATCATCTACAGTATTTTTAAATAAGTTATGTATCTAATAATGCAAACTATTTTGGTATAAATGATGCAAACATTAGGAAAATAACTTATTGTAATATGTATTAGTATCGTGTACAGTTCAACCGCATGACAGGGGTGTTGAAGACAAGTTGAGTCCCGTTCTGTTCTCATTTCATTGGATTGCATGTAAAGACGTGTTGTTCATTGGTTTGTCATTAAACTATTTCAAATAGTCAAACAGATACTTACATGCTTGTAAATTAGACACGCTTTGTCCCTATACAGTCTCCGTGCTCATTTAGCATCCCTAGTTACTTTTCTTACGTCCATATACAGGGACCGAAAATTCTCGTGTTCGATTTCAATATTACCTGAACTTTTTAAATTCTTAGTCTCGCAGAAGGGTTTGCGTCTATATTTCTCGTCTCTGTCTTGCTAAATTACTTGGTATTTTTGGAATTCACCGGAGTTACCTGCGCGGTCCCTTCAGTCCAATATTCGCGGTCTCTTTTGTCCAATGTTCGTATATTGTCAATATGTCCAAAAAAAATGAAAACAATTTTGTCCAATATCTCCTGACTGCTAAAATGAGACCTGCATATAGGTACGCATGAACTCGAGGGCTATGAGATGCGGTTATCTTGGGCAATAAACAGAAATTATTATGAGAAGTTTACTCGAACATGTCCTAAATAAAGCACAGATTGACGCTTGAAAAAACACTATGCAACAGCTGGTGAAACTTCTTGAAATCTTTTACACAATTAGTTCGGCAATAATTTGAAAATGCAGGTAAGAACTAGTATTATATAATACAAATGAACATCACAGGAGAAACTTCTATCCTGGCCACCACTGAATAAATGGCTACACCATGCATTGCATTGTAATTTTTGTATATAAAAAAATATAGTTACGTACAGAATTTCAACCTTAATTCAGGAAGAGTCTTCTCTTTGCACATAATAATTCAAACTGCTCCTATGAGTGTGTTAACAACAAGGTCCTCTGTTATTATCAATAACAACATCAATTTTTTCCGAATGCTAGTGATGATTCATCGCTGTGTTTGAACCCATTCACCAATTGAACATGTTAATCACATACTCATTTACAACTGAAGTCAAATGATACACAGAAGTTTCTAGAGACCAAACCACGACGGCAGATGTTGACGATCTTTCTGGAGCTTTATGCTAGCCTTGTATTCCTTAGTGAGACGCTGCAGCTGTTCGTCGTAGTTGTAGTCTTCGTCGATGAGGTCGGCCGGCAGCAGGTTCGGGAACTGGAACGTCTGCCCTTCACCCTGACGAGAAAAATACTTTCGGTTAAGCAAGAACAGGATAGGATTTGAACATTAATTTGAATAGTCGATGCTAGAAAATGCGTGAAACTCATTAGAGAACTTGACCTAAAAAGTAAAACTTATTTTACATCTACAATACCTTATAATGCTGGCTAGTTAAGTGGCAACATGGTTTCCTAGCTGTTAAGCTATCAAGCTTTCTCGCACCGGAAGTCGAGCATAAAAATCACAGATAAAAAGTCTCTCATAGCCCACAACACACAAAAGATCTCAAATAGCTGGCAAGATAGAAGCAGCGTTAGCATCTCTAAGAGACGAAGTGACAAGAATGGACAGGGAACAGCAACAGAAATGAAGACAAACGAACGAGAATTCGCTTACACGGAACGTCGGCCGCCCGCACGAGAGAGACAGAGATGGGCGTTTCCTTACCTTTGTAAGGGATTTCTTTGGGATTCCTTACATTTGTAAGGAATCCTACCTACATAATAACTTAATGTAAGGTAACCTACCTCCTTATTACCTTATATAAGATATCCTACCAACATAATAACTTAACCCCACAACTGAGACCTGCAGTCAGACACCGCGAGCTCGGCAGTGGATGGCTCAGGAACAATGCCCCTAGGAACGCGAACTTCCATAGGACTTCTGACGAGCACAGACGCCCTTCAGATGACCTTCTTGACTGAAATAATATTATTAAAAATGCAAGGATAGAAATTTAGAAAACTGTAACCTCTACTTGACTGGAAAATAACGCGTACAAAACAACTTGAAAGCGATAAATAAATGATGCCCGTAGCGAAGTTCATGAAGCGAATTAATGACCCGAGTTAGCCAAGAACAAAACAATATAACTCGGTACTCACTGCAATGAGTGATAGAGAGCGCATTTTCTCGTCGACGAAAGCGTGAAGTCACGGACGGACGGACGGACATGACGAGCACAATAGTTCATTTTTTCCATAAATGAGAAAATGCGCTAAAAAGGCCGCAGATATCAGACCTTGTAGGAATGCAGTAATGCTCAATGGCACACATACCTATATACTCGTGACGTATCTAGCAACGTTACGTAGGCGACATTAACGTCCCAGACATGAGAGAGGCACTCACCAGCGTTACGTAGGCGACATTAACGTCCCAGACATGAGAGAGGCACTCACCAGCGTTACGTAGGCCACCTTAACGTCCTAGACATGAGAGAGGCACTCACCAGCGTTACGTAGGCCACCTTAACGTCCTAGACATGAGAGAGGCACTCACCAGCGTTACGTAGGCCACCTTAACGTCCTAGACATGAGAGAGGCACTCACCAGCGTTACGTAGGCCACCTTAACGTCC